GAAATAATTTATTTTTGGTTTAATAATATAACATTTTATAAAGATAATAATTAAGTATTATGTTAGAACTCAATGATTATCTTAATTATATTTTAGATTTTTTATATTTAAAATAAAATGTTTATCTTGTATTTGATTATATTTATCTGCAGTTAGTTACACGAATTCAGATATGCAGCTTTAATAAGTTGTACTTACGCACAATCTACTTGTAATATTGAGTTTTAAGTAACATGCATTAATAAACAGTACTTTAAGCATAAAAAATGGTTTTTAAAAGTTTTTGTCAAATACTTTATAATATAGTATAGATAATGTATTTTAGTTAATATATTATTTATTAACATTAATATACTATTAATTAAATAATATGAATAAGGTATTAAATATAAAACAAAAATACAAGGGGTAATAGATAAATATCAAAAAGGGTTAAAGTTAATAAATTAAAAAGGTTAAATGGCTAAAACAGAAAAATATGATAAAGGTTAAAAATGACGTTCCTTAATTACATCCATTTCCATATAACAGAAATTAATGTTGAATTTGTGTCTAAAGTCTAAACTATCATTTGTTTTGATATATGGTTTCTTAGAAGTTTATAATATCTATGCACGAGAAATGAACTTAAAAATACTTTTATATTTTATAAATACTGAACCTTTTGCCTTTTTGAAAGTTGGATTCTATAGTAACACCCTAAAACCCATAGCAACAGACTGACCCAATAACTTTGAATTCAACTTAAATTTAATATTAAAAAGTTTAGTAGCCCATAACTTGAGGCTTATATACAGTTCACATATCCTTTTATTTATTTATTTATTATTATAATCAAATCAATTACAAATTATTTGTAAAATGTGAATCAACATATTTATATAATGGATGATGTAAATTAAAGAAAGGCATGCAATTTGTTGTTGTAAAAGACAATAAGTCACTTTATGAATGAAATAGATGAATCTACTTTTAAATGATTGTGTGTTTCCATGATAAAAGTAACATATATCTGTTGGTAAAATTCTATTTACAATTGCATTATCTGTTTAATGAGACTCATTGTTTATTCAGTCAATTATACATGATTATTTAATAGTGACTTAATAATATATAAAGTGACTTATTTAACAAGTTTTTTAGGAGAAGTTTACATAGAAATCCAAACTTTTTTCAAACATACCATCCGAACTAAAAACACACTCTTTTTATCTATAAAAGATCATACCATTCATACAAATTAGTTGATACATATACGAGCCGACTAATCCCAGGACGATCACCTGTTTTGCAGATAGCCCAGAGTCACCGCAGTTTAAACATCCGTAACCACAAGAGGATTTTTATTTCTCTTTAGATTTGAACCTAAAACTTCTAGGTATTTTTGACCTTTACAGCCATGTTCAAACCAATCAGTCACCTCTATGGTTATATTACGTATTTGATATTTAAGTTTGGGGTGTTTCATTTCAGCTTATTAAATGTCTGACATCTTCATTGAATCATGTCTATACTTCTTCCTACGTGCAACCTCCATCTTCTGTTACTTTTTATTATTGTTTTATTTTCAGATTAATTATTTAATTAAAAGGAATTTGGGTTCAAACTCGTAACAAAACCAAATTTTTTCCATACATTTTAATAAATACAAATCAATCTTTTCATCAATAAAACAAAATATTTAAGGGATGTTTATTAAATAAGTGCTTACCGGATGAATTTTTCTCATCGGATAGACATGACAAAAGTCAAGAATCTTAGCAGGTAAGAACAATGAGAAGGATGAAGAATCTTACCAAGTAAGTGAAGATAACGACTCGTACCCAAGTAAACGGTTACCAGATAAGTTGTTGCATTCGATACGTTTTGATGTACTAAAATCTTACACATCAAGATAAATTATAGTGTTAACTCATTTCGGTAAGCACTTATCAAGTAAACATTTAGATAAACAGCCCGTTACTGAGAATCAAATCTGAATTGCAAATAAGTTATATGTATGGAAAATCTTTTATTTGTAGATATTTAGTTGACTTTAGATAGAAAATATCAATAATTAGACGAGTCAATAGATTATTATGACTTAATACAAAATTCCAAAAATATAATTTGCGATTAGGTAACCAAATTTACTGCTAAAACGTTGAACAACAATTTCTACCCAATAAAAATGTTGATATGTATTAAGTTTCAGGGTATAATTATGATATATCATCACATATCTTGTTCAAGCTAATTTACGTTTTGAAAAATTCTCAGTGATCTTGCAGGACTTGAAACAGTTATTGGTTCCCACTTTTGTTTCCGTTGATTTGGATGTTATAAGATTTTAAATTAATTAAATTTTTTAATAAACTGGAATATTATAGAATGTTTGGCGTTAAATCCATATAAAAATTCTCAAAAATTATATGCAAATCTCACCTTTTGCTATCCACTCTGCCGTGAATGATTTCTGGAGTGGTAATAGAAAAAGATGGAGTTTCCGTAAAAAAAGTGAAAAAGAAAAAAAAAATTATAGGAGTATTAAGATGGACTCTACCTTTTTAATGATTTACAATTATACCCCTGAGAGCCACCGAAAAAGCTCGCTGATCTCTTCTCCGACCCTGCCATGAGTAGTTTCGAAGTCATCAACCATCTCGCTCCGGCGACTGCTTCCTGTGAAGAACCTGCCGGAGCCGCGAAACGATAGAGATCGTGAAGAGAGAGAAACAGAGACTCGATCGACGTAATCACGCAACCAATTGAGCCGTGCACTTCCGCCTTCAGCGGCAATCTCCGCCATTAAATTGTCTCCTGGTGGTTCCGGCGTAGTGGAGTCCTTATCGATTGAAGTACAGTCGGAGATATGTCTTCGGTGTGTTGATTCTACCGGAACCTCGTATCCGTCTTCGAGCACGTACTCGTATGAGCCAACGGAGTACGACCTCCGGCCTGAATCAGACGGTGTTTGTCGACGGCTAATACTCCCGATCTCTATTCGAAAACTGTTATTTCTATTCCCTCCGCCGCCTCCACCACCGCTTCCATCGGAAACAGAGAGTATCTTGTTCAGTACATCAGCTTCGGTTGGATTAACCGTAGACCGACAAAGCGGACACGTCTGGTTCGCCTTGAGCCAAGCATCAATACACTCCACGTGGAAAGCGTGACAACACAACGGAAGAAGACGGAGCTGATCCACCGCCTCAAATTTCGACAAACAAACAGCACAATCTCCCCCGGCGATATTTCCGGTAAGCGAAGAAAACGTAAAAAGCGGAAGGGATTCGACTCCATTGTTATCAATACAGATCACGTGATGAGTACCTTCATTTTCATTCCTACGATCAGAAACGACGTCGTCTGCAGACGAAAACGAGCTGACCGATCGGCTGCACCGGCGAGAGAGGAAGCGGAGAAAAAGATAAATAGAGGCGGAAACGATGATGGCGGAGGCGATAACAATTATCACAATGATTATAGAAGATGTTGACGACGTAGACGGAGAAGGCGCGTGTTGTTGCTGTTGCTGTGATACTGTGTCACCGGCGGATGCAGCACCGCCATTGTTGTAAACTTGAGAGATGGTGGTGTCGGTGGTTCCGGCGGTGGTGAGGAGTGGTGGCGGAGGGGTTGAGAGGTCCATTAATAAATATTTTGACAGAGAGACGGAGCGGTGACGTATAAATGTCTATATGGCGGAACTTAAGAAGGGGGCACCGGTGGTGAATGTGTGATGATATAAATGCGTTCTGGTTTTTTGGTGCTGTTGACTCTCACGTGACATGCACGTGACTCTTGATTTGGTTTGGTTGGGTTTATGTGTTGGGTTTAAAGGTTTTGGTGGCATCATATTAATTTACACACATGGAATGGATATTGGTCTTTATATTTTAAAATCATTTATATTTTTCATATAAATTTATTTAATTTAATTATTTACTATTACAAGACAATTTACTCCGTAAACACTAACCTTAGCAAGGGTCGTCGCCCTCACTTACCAGTTTTAGTTTTAGAGAAAAGAAAACTATTATTTTTATTAAGTTTCCATAACTTAATGTCTTAGGGGTCGTTTACCAAACACTTACTCGGTAAGTGTTTACGGGTAAAATTTAACATTATTATTTACTATCGGGTAAGATTTTAATCCATCAAAACGACATTGTATGCAACAATTCACCCGGTAAGTGCTTACCGTGGTAAAAATCGTCGTCCTCACTTACCGGGTAAGACTCATGGTCTTTGTCTCGCTTTTACTGGGTAAGATTCTTAGTCCTTACCATATTCATCCGATGAGGTAATGTGACTTGATAAACGCTTATCTGGATAAGTGTTTGGTAAACGGCCCCTTAATCCATTTATTGAAAAACGATAATTTGGGGTTCTAAAAACCCTTCAAACATCCATTCTTATTGTTTGTAGAAACAACGAAATTAGAATATTACAAAAATTGAAAGGTTTTGCGTACAATTTTATTCATAGATAATGTTTTGGTAATTGTGATTTCTTGAATTTTTTTTAAAACTCAAATATTTTAATATATGATATAAATATTTAATGAAAACAAATATATAATGGATTTAAATATCCAAAAAACTCTCTTAATAACAATTAGATTGTAAGCCGCTCATTAAAGTGGTATCAATACCATTCAATGTCGTACTATTTGATTTTTCACCTTTGTCAACCATAAGAGTGAAGTTTAATTCATGTTCAAATTCAAGGAGAAATAAAAACTTTCTTGTGGCCACGAATGTTAAAATACGGTGACTCCGAGCTATCTGCAAAACAGGTGGTCGCCTGGGAATTAGTCAGCTCACATAACGAATTGGATATCCAGGTTAATCAAAAAAAAAAGAGTGAAGTTTATTTTTGGTATCTAACGTTTGTAAACTTCAACGAATATTGTTCCTAAATTTCAAAAACTTGAATTTAATCTCTCATATTTGTTAGGGCTTGTTTGTTTTTAAAAAAAACCATTTAATGTCTTTTAAGTCTGAACCGGTCAGACGTTTTTATTTTCAGACCGTTTGTTTTTTTTATATAAATAAGAGCTGAAAAGCTCTTAATTTGCTCTGAAAAAAAAGTGATAACATAATCACTTAAATCATCTTAATCGCTCCCTCCAAACTCTCCCCTCCATCCTCGCCTCCAGATTTAGTCCTCCAAATCTATCTCGCAAGACATTCGATCTCCAAATCTATCTTGCAAGACATTCGATCTCCAAATCAATCACGACCCAGATCGATCCACATATTCTCGTAAAATCATGACCCAGATCGATCCACATATTCTCGTAAAATCATGACCCAGATCGATCCAAATCTATCAGATCCAAAACTTGACTGATTCAGATTTCAGATTTCAGATGTAAAAACAAACAGTCTGACTGATTCAGATTTCAGACTTCAGTACCACCTCTTAAAATTCAGAAGTGAAATCAGACTTCAGACTTCAAAACCTCTTAAAAAACAAACGCTACCTTAATTTTGACAAACATTAGGGACCAAATTAAACATTACTGTTAATTTTAATTTTTGAACATTTAAAAATGTAAATATTTTTTTTCTGCAAATTAAAAAATGTATATGTTTTTTTTTTTTGCAAATTAAAAAAAGTATATGTTTATTTGGTCAACTTTTAGGGCAAATTATGTCTTTTACCACATATTTTCACTCAATCCCTATTTTAATACATGTTTAGTCCTTGGTTTTGTATTTTGTATAATATATTGGTCTATGCATTTAACACCGTTAAATCTTGATTCGTTAACCATGTCGTGTAATCTTCACATGAGAGCAAATCCGTCCTCTAGGTTTCTTCTACATCGATTTGCTTTACTTTTGTGATGTAGAGCAGGACAAAATCATGATGAAAAAATCGGAAACAGAAGATCCTGCGATTTCCCTGGCGGCTAAGTCACCAGGAAAGTCAAGTAACTCATTGAATCCAAGACAAAATCTCCCGCGGCGGCTTCCCATGCAGCCTCACCCATGGGAAAAGCCGCACAACTCACTGGACAGGTAACAAAAAATCCCGCGACCAACCCCGCACTAGTCGCACCTGGGTCACTCCCTATTTTGATTGATATCATGGTTTTCCTGCACTACCTTTACTCCTATCCTAAATAAGTTTAGCTGTATCTTAATTATTTTAATTGTTTCTTAACTAATCTAGAATTCTTTCAGAGACCTTATTTAAAACCTTTTTAGCCTAATGCTTAATTCAGATTATCAAGTTATCAATACAAGTTCTCTTTGAGTTTTCTCAACAATTTTTAGTTCTTACGCTTGTAAATTCTAAAAAGCCTTTGAGTTCCAACGTTTGTTAAACCCATTATCGTTTCCTACTGCGTCATTTTGCATCTGCTTTGCTTCATGGCTGCGGTTTTTGTGTTTTTTTTATTATTATGATTTTGATCTTACCCAAGTCACCAATCTTTTCTATGACTTTGTATAATTTGATGTTGATGTTCTTGCAATTTGTGTTTTTGTCTTTGTATTTTTTACTGAATGGTAGAGGGTGTTGAACGGTATCATGGTGGACATGGTAAAGGGTGGTAGTGGTGGATAAAGAGTGGTCGTGGTTCACTGAGAAGTGAGAGGGGGTGTTAATTTTATTGTTTTGTTTTCGAAAGAAAACGAATAAAAAGATAACATGATTAATCTCTCCCTCACGTGAAAGGCACCTGCCTCTACTTAACGAACCGTGGTTGACGACGTTAATTCAAGAACCGACTTTTTATAGAAAACACAAAATAAAAGTCATCGGTGAACTAAATGTGCTTTAAGGATCAAATTCCGAATTTAAGTATAATATGGGACCAAACGCGTAGTTTATTCTTGAAAATGGTATTTAATTGCCTATATTTGAAAAAAAAATTATTTTGAGAAACACTATAAAAAATTGGTAATTGAATATTTATAGAGAGGGGGAGATTTAAATAAGAACAATAATTAAATAAAAAACATGAAAAAGTCAAATCACACGTAAAATCGCATGTGATTCTATCTGACGGTCAACATAATGGTAAAGGGGCAACGTGGCCGGTTAGGGACGGCAAAAAAAAACCCGAAACCGATGGTGAAAATCAAAAACCGAAACTTTCGGGCCGGGTTTGGGAACATTTTATCGGGGACAGGGGGGATCGGGGACAAATTCGGGGATTTTAATAGGGACGGGGGTGGGGATGGTGATCACCGGCCCGGCCCGATATATATATATATATATATATATATGAAAAATCAAATGTTAACCATCATTTTTGTGTTAACTTTGAAAACTCTCTCTACCAATCAAATTTCATTATTCTTATAGGTTTATGTCTTGTTCATTTTATCCTTACAAGGGTATTCTACTAAATTGAATTCATTTGTAACCCCCAAACAATTAATGGGGAGTTACAAACAATCAAATCCCAAAAAATATGAATTGATATTATTAATTTTTTTTTACTATTGATCTTCCATGTTCATTCTTGTATGAATTCCTAAATCGCATAAGAAACACGGTAGTAACGATTTTCGGTATTGATCAATTTGAACACAAATGAACCGTGAACACAATTTGAACACAAATGAACAACCGTGAACACAATTTGAACACAAATGAACCGTGAACACAATTTGAACACAAATGAACAACCGTGAACACAATTTGAACACAAATAAACCATGAACACAATTTGAACAAATTAACAGATGAACACAAATTAACAGATGCTACCTTAATTTTGTGGGACGTCTATGTATGTGAATATATGGGCCAAAAATTGCATATATCGTGTTCATTTGTGTTCATATCGTGTTCACGGTTCATTTATGTTCAAATTGTGTTCACAGTTGTTCATTTTTGTTCAAATTGTGTTCACGGTTCATTTGTGTTCAAATTGATCAATACCGAAAATTGTTACTACCGTGTTTCTTATGCGATTTAGGAATTCATACAAGAATGAACATGGATGATCAATAATAAAAAAATAATAATAATATGAATGCATATTTTTTTGGGATTTGATTGTTTGTAACTCCCCATTAATTGTTTGGGGGTTGCAAATGAATTCAATTTACTAAAATACCCTTGATAAGTATATTTTTTTCTTCCCAAAATGCCCCTTTCATCATTGTTCACTAGGCCTCATTAAAATTCAAACTTTAAAATTTAATTTTTTTTATTGATTAATCTTAACCGTTGATTATATATTTTGATGGCCAAGATCAATTAATAAGGTTAACACAAAAATGATGGTTAGCATTTGATCTTGACCTTATAGAGCTTGGTTCAAATACTAACCAAGAAATTTGTATTAACTATACTAATCAAGTCTAACCAATCATATTCCATCTTTACTTTATGTTCAAATGTAACTCATATATTAAATACAAGGGTAATTAGGTAATTTGACCTTTATGTAACTCCCTAATAATTAATTGGGAGTTACAAATCTTAAATATCTCACTAATTGATCATGATGTAATTCTGAATTTTATCTTCATACGTGTTCATGATCGTAATTTTCAAGTGATGTTCTACATATAATGATATTGTTTTTGTAAGTGTAAAAGATTTTCGTATCGTCCGACCAACTCTTCGGCCGGGTGGCCACAATCGACAATCTCGATAGAGATTAACAGGGGGATTGTGTTAATATGGATAATCCTA